ACTCAGTTCTTACCTTTGTAACAAGGATCGCTTATAAAACACACACATTCAGCGTAGGTCGAAAAAGTCTCGTCCGGTCTGCAGCTCCCACTTGAGCACGGTTTTGAAGAACAGGGATTATTCTAAAAGCAAATTACGAAAATCAGCTGTAACAACGATATATTTGCGCGATGCGATTTGTCGTGAGCAACTTGAAGCAAACGATACAGGATCACACCGTTTACCAAAATGACTGAAAAATGACAACTGTCACACATAGGTCTTTTCTGAGATAGCAGTTTGCATTGCATTATGGTCTAGATTTTGTACAAACATGTTTTGTTCATGTGCCAAATATGACGTTGTTTGAGCTGAAGCTAGACCACAATGCACCACGATTTTTTTACAACATTTTTTATTTACAATACTCCAATTTCGAGTTCTGGTTCGCTCTGTGTTAGCCTCAAAACCAAGTAACATATTTTTTTGTCTTATTGATAGCTCGAGAAAACGCATGGAATTTGAAACGAAAGATAATAGAATTGATTGGAAATCTCACACTTTTATTCTCACATTTAGGAATATTTAGCRCACAAATGAGGCTAACACAGAGCATTGGAGAATTCGAAACTGGAGTATTAAGGAATGCATGGAAGTAGGTCAAGCACACAAGACGTCGCACCACGATTTTGTATTTCTGAAAAGTTATATGCGAAGAACGCGTAGTACGCATTGTCAAGAGTTACACAGTTTTAGTTAGGAGGGGCGAATACATTACAATTTTACTCCGACGAAGGATTAACGTCTGAAAACGTCAAGTAAATTATTTCACCTACTTTTTTACGGTGTTAAATTTATCTTTTTACACTATTGCTACATTACAATTTATACACAATTCAGATCGTTGTGTCGAGCTTGGCAATGTTTTGAGCATAGAATAGGAACCGGCATGTTGGACTCAAGCGAGTGTTGGTAGTGATATATCTAATGATATATAATTTATGATATTCAACTGTCAACTAACCTTAAAAAAGCAATACTCGTACGTTGATCCCTTTTGGATACTACSAGGATGAATCACGTGATCAGAGTAGCTAAGTACGCATGCTCTGTGAACACCGCTTTTGGGGCCCAAGTTGTATGACACACATCGCTTTTCGTTGTAACATTTGATACCGCACAAATTGTCGCTGTTTACGTCATGACGTGAGAGCACGTGACCTGTTAGGTTTTGGTTTGGGATGCATGAGTCGAACTTCAAGATACGACATCCTGAAACATACATGAATAGTTCATGAGAAAATTTAAATAAGAATTTACTGTCAATGTTAGTGGAGCCACAGGCTCAGCGCTTGCGTGGTACGCGGTTCGAGCCGTTGACATGAAGCCATGAATTTATTAAGACTTTCTTTGTATTTTTTTCCTTAATAATAATAAACATTTTTATGAATAAACATTGATTTTTAAAGCCTTTTAATATATATTTTTTATTTAGGTTTTGGAAAATATAAAAATCAGTCTTAATAATAATTAAATAATAATTAAAATTATTCATAAACATGTAATGTTTACACTTGTCAAAGAAACAAAGACGGTCTTGAAAAGTCTCAAAGAATGAATGAGAARAAATTTACGGCTTCATTTAAAGGCGGCTAAATATGAGAAACAAAAACCCTCAACTTGGCGCGAAACATTGTTTCTGTTCAAATTGAGCATCGGTATTTCTCGTTTTTCACCATGTATTTTTGTGAGGGTTGTGTCAACCCGTCAAGACCGGAAGTGATGTCACTTATATGCTAATGTCTTCCATGGCACTTAGAATATTTTCGATGTCTTGACTAGCAACTTCCGGTTGTCCGGGTGTGTGACAAGATCTCTACGCATGAGGGAGGGGTGTTAAATCACATGATTTTCAAACATAGAATAGAAATATTTATAGGGAGGGGAAGGTAAAAGATACAGATTGGTAATACCAAACAAAATTGAACTTGGGGCGGGGAGGGTGGGCGGTACTTTGTTTGGATCGCGACATGGTCAACCCGTCAAATTGGTTTGTCAACCCGTGTCACGTCGCAATGATACTGGACATACATGATTTTTGTTGCATAACAAGTTGACGATGAGAAACTTTGATACTCAACTTTAACAGAAACAATGTTGCTCGCCAAGTTGCTGATGGTTTTTGTAACTCGTATTTAGCCGCCTTAAGACTACCACACAATACATTATTGACACCGCCGTGAAATCAACACAAGTGCTGAACCTGGGCGCCCTTTGGTGGGGCCTGGCTAGTATGAGTCAGGCTACTTAATTGTAACTTTAAATTGTAACTTTATTTTCGGGATCTATAACTTTTTTATAGGATTAGATGTCTCTTTTTGCGCGGATCTTTGGCAAGGAAATTCAAAAGCAAAGGCAGATTTAAGGGGAAAAATTAAATTCGTGAMTAGAAAAACCAACAAACAACAACAACTATACGAGAATAACAAAAGGACCAAAACAAACTTCGAATATAAAAAGGCGTTCATGCCGATCGCCGTTATGTTGAAATCGTATTTTTTTGAAGTAGTTTTCATGGATTTTTCGTTTGAATCCCCACAAAATTTCGCAAAAAAGCCGACAGTTTGTTCTAACTTGTTCTAGAAAAACTTTCAATTTAAAAAACTCAAAAATAAGGTTAATTGTGACATTATATAAAAATGTTGATCAAAATCGTGTTTTTTTTTGTAGATTTCGTGGATTTTTTGTTTGAATCAAAACAAAATTTTGCAATAATAAGCCGACAGTTTTTCAAAATTGTTCTTCCAAAACTTTCAATTTAAAAAACTCAATAATAAGCTTCACTGTTAACAATTCTCCCTCTAATTCATAATGAAGAAAAATATAATGTGAAAATAATAAATTATTCATATGCGATGTATAAGTTTCTGCAGAGTAACAAATTCTGTAAAAAACGAACGATCTAAACAAGCGAAGAAGTTTATAATATACGGATACAGCGCGTTTATACCCAGTATTTATGAACAACGGATATGAACTATAAACGCTATTGATACTTTTAAAACTTATAGCATTCATAGGGCATTGCTGTGTTATAACCTACGTATCCAAATTAATTTGTTTTATAAAATGCCTTTTGATGTTCTTTGAATAAAGACCCAATATACAAAAGCAAACGTGCCAACTTCCAGTCACACGAGGATCTTCATCTCTCATAACTTTCACCGTTTAATCATAATCTTTTCAAGAATTTCATTTGCGCGCCATAAATTAAATCTAATAGATTATTCACAAAAAAATTAGCTCTACTAGAATTACACAACTCACCTTCCGTTGTTTGTGTCAAGAAATATAGAAAAGATGYGAAAGTCAAGAAAATCGTCATTGCCTTTTTAACAGTTTTCTTCGCCTGTCATGAGTCAGAGTATGAGGTCCATTGCTGGGGAGTTGCTTCCAATTTCTCAACATTTGGCAGGTGTTCGGCAGACTTTTATTCAAACGAGCGATTACTTGTTACTAGTTCCCAGTTTCTCAGCAAGAAATTGTTGTCCATCATCATGCTCGACAACTGTGTGTTTCTTAGTATTGGTCTATCTATCCAATACGATATATAAAACAAAGAAAATGACTGATTGTTCAGAAGTCTTTTCTATAATATATGCAAGTTTTTGACAATTTAAAATTTTGAAAATCTCCGAGAAAATCGCCAAAAACGGGTCCACGAATACTTCCAAAAAAGATTATCATATATGGCTGCTATGRCAACGTTCMTGAGGCAGTCCTTTGGCATGCTGCATTATTAAAGATGGTTTTAAGTGGGTTATTCTTGCTTTCAGGGGATATAGAATTATATGGAAGTAATAACAAGAATAACATCTCCCATTATCTGGGTGATTTGAGAAAATGCGACTAGCCAATCAGCGCAAAGCTGACAAGCTTATGTTGTAAACATAACCCTCCGACGGGAGGAATTTGCACAGCAAAACTCGACCCAGTGGAGTAGGCTGCCTGTCATTTTATTCTATCCGAAAAATCGAAGCTAAAACGCTAAGAGAAATTGAAAATCTTTATAAAATAGCTTTTAAATGTAAATCAAATATTTATCGTTATAGAAATAGAATTTCATCTTAAAAATGAAATACCAAATAATTGTTTCTTTAATACCACGAGACTCCCCTCCCGGATAAAAATAATTGTTCTGTGTTCTACGCGGGTTCTCCATTGCATGCGATACTTTGTGCCATTAAAATGGAGTCGCTCTGCATTAATGGTCTATTTCTGCATGCAGACTGTATGTGATGTCGTCGTGCATATTTATGTACGTACGAATTCAAGATCTTTGCATGTCTACAATCTTTTGTAAACACTGTCTATGATTAAGTTCCTTCGCAGGTAAATCTATTCCGCGGGATTCCTGTTTTAAGGCAGTGGCCGGAGGGGGGAGGGGCTAGAAAGGAAGGAAAAGCGGAGGCTAGTCTATGATTTTGTTACCACTTTAATCACTTTCTGCAATGACTTGGTCATTTAATTGCTACTGAAATCACAATGATAATGTGTGTGTAAGGTGTRTTGGAGAGGGAAAATGATCAGAGTGTTCATATGGGGAGAATGGTAGGGCTTTGATTGATAACTTCAGCTTTCCATTCAATTGGAATTTTTTTRTGCATTTATTGATTGAGCAAATCCACCATAATTTGACAGCATGTGACTGCACGTTTTGAATTGTACGATTTTATTGTGTTTTTTTTATTCACAGTGAAAATTTTTAAAGGTTTTTAAGACTACGATTTTCAAATCCTTATGTTATTCCTTAGTGAAAGTGTCTAAGGGTTTATAAAGGCTACAATAATTTTCAAAACCTTATGCACTTTTATATACTATATCGATACTATAGGCTACATTTGGTTTTTCTCTATATGTCAGTAAACGTCCAGTGGTTTCATATCGAAATTCGGATCGTTTTAATTATATGGACATCCATAAATTTCAGCTCTCATCGAGATATACCTCTTCCATGTCCTAACGATAAATCGGAWGGATTTTGCTTGGATGGCCCTACTCTGCAGAACATGTTTCACGACTGTGTTTCTGTCACTATTGCCTTGGAATACCTTAACGTTTAACAAAAAATAATAATCAACTCGCGCGCGTGAAAAAGACCACAGGCTTACTAGACTATTTAGAAGAGAGGTCGCCTTCAGGCCTTCTATGGCAATCATCGGCCCAAAGCCGTYGAAATCTCTTCAAAATTAGATCATTTTCAACATCGATATTTGGCCTTTTGGGGGGATTATATTTATTAGCATTCTAGGAAATGTTTTGGTTGGTGAGTATTACATGACTGTCTAGTACGTATCTGAAGGAAGAAAATACTGCATGGGCGTCGGCCAAAAAAATATTTCCAAGTGTTTCATCAAGCGGCGTAAAGGGAGAGCGCTTCCCAGGTATAGCAGTAACTAGGGAGGGTAGGGAGGGTYACATTTTGATTGTCGGATCCCGCACAGAATCATATTTCCAGGGAAAATTGTACARTAGAACAGTTATTTAGAAGAAAAGATATCGGCGAGAAAAACTTAGGGAAAAGTCTATTTTGAACTMGACACAGCTTCCATCAATTACGTTCTATATGTACCTTGACGTCATCGTTAAGGAATTCCGTATACATTTTATAATTCACTCCATCTTGACTGTATGCAAGGGTGTAGCTTGTGACCCACTGATCGAAGGTCGGTCTTCCCTGTGTTGCTACCATGGAAACCCACTTTATTTGTCCCAAGTCAACCTTTTGAAATTAAATGTCGGTGAGTCTCATGAAGGCATATTTTATTAATTACATTATTGAGTATAATAGTCTTCTTCAAGGTTACCTGCGCCCATCTTGAAAGGTATAGCCGTGCCTTTGTATGTTATTGCAGCGAGATCTCATATCAAATAGATCCAACATAGAGCTTGCAATTGTGATACAAGTCTCCTTTCGGTCATACAAATAATTATTCACAGGTATCTATCATTGTCGCCCACTCAGTGGTCTTGTCTTGCTTCGATAGAAAAGAACGGCTACCTTTCAAGATGGCGCAGGAAACCATTTGAAAGAGACGATACTTGACAAACTTTGCAATGTCCGCTTATATTTAACAATTAGACCTCGAGGTCGAGTGGACTACGAGCTAATAGCCCATGAGGCCGAGTCCGCGAGGCCGAATGGGCTATTAGCTCGTAGTCCACGAGGCCGAGAGGTCTAATTGTTTTAGTATAAACATACTAATCGGTCAAATAATGAAATCAAATTGAAATATCCTTAAAATAATTTAGAATTTAGAATTTATTTATTTTGATTTTCCCGCGAGTGGTCTATCACAAATTAGACCATTAGTAGAGTAGCCAATCACAGCGCAGTATGAGTGGTAGACCATTAGTATGTTTATACTAATTGAAGCTAGAGTATATTAAGGCATTTGCTTTGTTGTCCTTTAAACACATCCCTCCCTTCCATCCCCTCTCGTGCAATATGTCCCGAAGGAACTAAGCTTCTCCAATAATTGCCCTATGTCGTAATGACGTCACAGTATGTTTACATTGAGGATAGATGCTCAGGAAGACTCGAAATTTGGACCTTTTTATAACATTCTTTCCGAAAGTAGAACTTTAGTGTGTCGAGTTTTGATGTATATAATTTATAATTTATCAATGATTGTTCATCTATATTTTATTTGATATGCAGTCACTCTGATCCCCTCTGGCAACCATAATCCTGAGCGTTAAAAACAATAACATGTCATGGTGTGACGTAATTATTCCCTCCATCCACTAATATTTTGTGCTATAAAAGTATCATATGCAACCATAGGATACCCAACTATTGCTTGAGAGAAAGAAAAGAATGAATGCGCACGCTTATATCAACCTGTCAAAGCGCGAATGAGCTTGGTTAAGCCACCGGGCATCATGCAAAAACACTTGTTTATTGTGATGTAAATTTGATTGTTGTACTTTAATTTTTAGTTTGAGATCTTGGGACGGACTGTGCAGCGGCAGCCAGAGGCGCCAACTCAAGCTCACAGTCTACCAAGACTCTCATGTGTNAGGCATTTGCTTTGTTGTCCTTTAAACACATCCCTCCCTTCCATCCCCTCTCATGTGCAATATGTCCCGAAGGAACTAAGCTTCTCCAATAATTGCCCTATGTCGTAATGACGTCACAGTATGTTTACATTGATTTACATTGAGGATAGATGCTCAGGAAGACTCGAAATTTGGACCTTTTTATAACATTCTTTCCGAAAGTAGAACTTTAGTCTATCGAGTTTTGATGTATATAATTTATCAATGATTGTTCATCTATATTCTATTTGATATGCAGTCACTCTGATCCCCTCTGGCAACCATAATCCTTAGCGTTAAAAAATAACGTCATGGTGTGACGTAATTATTCCCTCCATCCACTAATTTTGTACTATAAAAGTATCATTTGCCACTAATCACCTGAAGGTATTCTCCAGCTTTCAACGACTTTGCAGACCATGAGCCGGAATTTATCAAGAATTGTTCTTTTTTGTGAAGTCCCTGGAAATGCAGTCTTGCCCGGAAAGGTTCGTGTCCCGAGCCAAAGAAGCTTGAAGCGGTGATTGAAGCATTGGGAATAGCTCCACTTTGCATGCCCAAAGGAAGATCGCAGCCTTTAAAACAAATCATTGCGAATACTAAGCTAGATAAGTATTGAATAAATTGAGAAATCGATCGGTCCAATCAATTTCAGCATGCCACAACCATACACTACAAGTTACCGCACAGCGGTACGGTCCTAGACTGGCGGACAGCGAACCGCACAACAACCAACATCGCAACGTATACGACAGCTCACCGCAGCACAACGCAACGCGCTGCAACGCACCGCAAGGCAGCGCAGCGCACAGCAACGCGACGCAACGCAACGGCGTACATATCTTTATCGTACTGCACTTAACCAAACCAGATCRCGACTTACTTAGAGCGGATTTCGTATGACTGTTTAAAAAAAACTGCATTTTTGTGCCGTGTCTGTACCGGGCCGCGACGATGATGTATTCTTGATTTCTTATTTTCATTTGGATCACTACCAGGCAGGTTCCATTAGCGTGCTGTGTCCGTGTTGTGATCCTCGTGCCCTTGCACAGACATACGAAATCCGCTTTACTGTACCATACTTCACCGCATACTGGCCATAGCCTACTACATAGAGCGGATTTCGTATGAGTGGGAAACGGACGGTACTGTACTGTGACCGTAATCGTACTGTAACCAAATTCTAGTGCCCCATTGTTTCACCAAAATTCTGCAGGCCAGGTCCGGTAACTATGCGGTAACCGTGCGGTAACGGTGTCCTGCTCATACGAAATCCGCTCTAGTACGTCATCGTACCGTGTCTACCGCACTAAACCGTAACATCCGTTTMGCATCGCATTCCACATCACATCAAACCGACCAGTGGCCACGCGGCTGTCTTACCTTTGTAGCATGGGTCATCAGTAAAGCAAACGCATTCGTACTTTGTGAAAGTCTCGTCTGGCCTACAGCGACCACTAGAGCACGGATTTGAAGAACAAGGATTCTGAACAAGAACAGCGAAGTTTTATGACGTAATGAGTGAAGTGGCGAGTTGCATCATGGTAGATGAAAGTGTCAAGATGGCGGATTATATTTCAACTAACCTGATAAAAGCAATAATCATATGTTGTTCCCTTTTGAATATCACCAGGATGAATCACGTGGTCAGAGTGGCTGAGTACGCATGCTCGGTTGACACCACTTTTTGGCCCTAAGTTGTATGAGACGCACCACTTTTCCATGTAACATTGCAGACTACATGTCTCGTCACTGTCTACTTCGTGACGTGAAATCACGTGACGTGTTAGGTTTTGGTTGGGAATACACGGGCGACGCTCCATAATTCGACATCCTGGGTCAAACATTTCAAAACATTATTGAAACTGAATGCATACTTCCCGGCAAAATGGCCTCCGCTTATTATAAGATTTTTTTT